AATAAATCAGAGACAGGCCTTTTTATATTATGTTTATTTACTCTAGTCCATTTGCAGTTCTAATTACTGTCATGTGCTAAAATGAACCATGGATTAATAGGTGGACTAGCTTCATTTAAGTGATAAAGTGGCTACTAACACCCTTTTCATTAAATGATTTCCTTCAGGGTTGACTGATGGGTGCCCTTGACACATTAAAATAGTTAGAGGAAGGCTTCTATTACTGTCCATCTGACTTGCACCTTTCCTAGGGAACTAGATATTGGACTTGTATTGATAAAGATTCAGAACCTCTTAAATGACATACTGGGGTTCTATGTCTTAGGTAACTAAGACCATTTACTTGGTGAAGAGTGAGAGTTAGGATTGTACCTGGCATGAGTGTCAGGTGCAAATAGCAATGAAGGACAGGCTGGGTGTGAATGGATAGGTGTGGTTGGAGCTAAAATTTCACAAGGTTGATAACTTCTCTTACCTGGAAGGGCCCTCAGGGAAGAGTTTTCCAGTATCCAACCAAGGTGAGTGGTGGTATTCATCCTGTCAATATCAGCCAGATAGGTATTCTTATCTTATAATGAGTAGTTATTATTTCAGAATGTTCTTTGGTAGAGTAGAAAGTATTATGGAGGTAATTTTGAGGTGTTTGTAGATCCTTTAGCTGTATTGACTTTTTGCTGGGTTAAGGTAAGAGTTAATGAGGGGGGGCTTCCCTGGCATTCCAGTGGTTAAGACTTCACCTTCCAGTGCAGGGGGTGTGGGTTCAATCCCTGGTCGGGGAACTAAGATGCCACATGCCTCACGGCCAAAAAACCAAAACATAAAAAAACACAGAAGCAGTATTGTAAGATATTCAATAAAGACTTTAAAAATGGTCCACATCAAAAAAAAAAAAAAAAAGTTAATGGCGGTAAACTTGATACAGGAAGAGATAACTTGGCTGGTGCACTAAGTGTTGAAGTCTCTTTATTGCTCCAGCATCTCAGTAAATTGACAAATAAGACACTGGAATAGTGACAGAGGAAAAATATCAACTTTATTATACAAAAAGGCTAGATTGGGAATGTTGCTTAGTAATAGAGTTAAATAGGCTTGTTAACTCAAACGCTGGAGTTTGGCCAGGGGACCCAGTCGTCATCTACTAGGCTGGACCAGCAGTGTCCTGCAGATGTAGAAGTAGATGCTTGCTCCTTGTGGACAGTTTGTTCTCAAGTGGAAAAAAAGATAGAGATGAACTGAACATGTTCAACTTATTAAATACAAACTAATCAGTGTAGAGACCAGAAGTAGACCAGTTGAACTCCTTCCAGAAGAAGGAAGCAGTGGTAGAGAAGAAGCATTTGCCGTCTATGTCTGTATGTATTTTCTTGATTTATCCATTTTAGACCATCCCAGGGGTCCCCAACCCCGGGCCGCACAGCAGGAGGTGAGCAGCAAGTGAGTGAAGCTTTATCTGCCACTTACTATCACTCCCCATCGCTCGCATTACCACCTGAACCTCCCTCCCCTGCATCCGTGGGAAAATTGTCTTCCACGAAACCGGTCCCTGGTACCAAAAAGGTTGTGGACTGCTGAGCTCTGCTATTTCCTTGCTATGGAAAGATGAGGATTTAGCTCACTGTCCTTTTCTATCTCCTATGCCCTCATTGTGTCAAAATAATTCTGTTATAATTTTGATTAAATAAGTATTCAGTATTTACGTTTTATAATTACCTACCTTTCTTTTCCCTCTGGAATTTTGTTTTTATTGGAATGAATAAATGTCTTTTTGTCCTCATTTAGTTTACTTATTTTTATATGTTAATAGTGATGGAGTCCACAGCTTTCCCCCAGTTGCTTTAGTATACCTATATGTATTTACTTAGTCGAATTTATTTTCTTCAAGTAGACAGCAGTCTGGACTTACTGTGTATAACTACTCTTGCATTAATGGTCATCTTAGTATCTTATCTTCACCCTTATTCTCAATGTTTTCCTCACCTTGCTGTTCTATTAGATGTCCTATTACCTAGATGTCATGTGTTCTTTCTCTTGATGTATTCTCATGTTTTGTAGAGCACAGATTGTAATAGCTTCCTGATAAAGAATATATGGGAGGTACATCTTTTGAGAGCTTGCATGTCTGAAAATGTCTCTATTCTACCCTCACACTTAATTCATAGTCTGAATCCTGAGTACAGTATTCTAGGTTTGAAATAAGTATTCTTAAATAATTAAGAAGTTTGTTGCCTTTTTTATCCTTAATCCTCTATGAAATCTGATTCTCACTAGAAGTCTAGAATATTTTTTTATACCTACGATTATGAAATTTTATGATGATTTGCCTTGATACAGGTCTGCTTTTGTCATTTGTATTGGACATATGAGTGAGTCCTTTTAGTCTGGAAGTCCATATCCTTTCATCTTGGAACATTTTATAGAATTATTTCTTTTAATTCCTCCATTTTCACTGTATAAACTTTCACATCCCCACATTTTCTGGAGTGTGCTTCTGCTGTCAGCTGTGCATGGCATACCCCAGAGACCCTATGGTTTACTCCCCTCAGTGAACTCCAGTCTTTTGCTATTGTGGGAGAGTGGGCAGGGGCAGGCTGTGCAGAAATGAGGAGGTGATCTGAGTGGTTAACTACTTTTTAAGTAGACTTTCAAGAATCCTGGTGGTTTTAAGACCAACCTCGCCCTCACTGCCAGACATATGTGAGCTTATTGGGAGTTTTGTAGTGATTATCATATTGCTTTTCTGCTTTCCCCACTATTGGCTTTGGATTCAGCTTTCTGGCGTCTAAGTAACATGCCATTGTATGTTTGTTCTAGAAATATATGTGCCTCTTTAGTGCATTATAAGATCTGGTAGTAGATCTAATAAACATGATGAATACTGATGAACAAAAATGATATTTCCCTATCTGCAATAACAGTAGTGTTATATGAAATTATCTTTGATTTTTGTTGTTTACGGAGTCACACATACTGCTAAACTACTGTGATTTTCTGTTTAATAAGTGAAAGAAAAGCTAAAGTTCATTTAGAGAATAGTAAGAAAATAAAAATGTACTCTTTTTTTTCTTATCCATTTTCCTGGAATCCCTGATTTCCACCTGTGGACCCAATTTAGAACTCTTGAATTAAGTAGAACATGGTGGTATATGAGACCATAATCATAGTTTCCTTTATTTGTCCTCTTGTCCTCTTTGTCCTCATTGTAAAGAGAGGCCTCTTTACAATGAATAACTCTGATCAGCCTTTTCATTCATTCAACAAATATTTACTAGGTATCAACTGACTGTAAGACACTGGGCACCAGGCCTATGTTAGTTAAACAAGCTTCTGTCTTCATGGAGTTTACATTTCTAGTGGAATATATAATTGGTTATAGTGTTACCTAGATTAAAATAAGATGGCTTGTATATATCACCACCCCTGGAAAAACTAACTGAAATTGCATATCTTTCTGATAATATCATTACTTTTGAAACAGGACTTGAAATTTTTTGTTACAAAAATAATATTTATTTTTAGAAAGATATAAGAAGACTGATAGAAAAAAAGAACAGTACCCATTATTGCACTGATCAGAAATAACCATTGTAAACACCTTGGTGTATATTTTATCTCTTTTCTATATACATGTGTATAATTAAATATGTATATGTATATTTAAATGTGCCTAATTTGTTTATAAAAATTGAATTTATTATAAAAACATGTACAGTTTTTGTCAAGTGTTTACTTCAATTTAATGGCTATATAATACTCAATTTTATGACAACACCATAATTTATAACTTTAGGTTTTCTGTATTTCACTATTTAAAAAAAAATTCTTGTGCTAATTTCTTATAGCTAAATCTTACCAAACACCTTTAGTTAATTATTCCAGTAGTCTTTATGAATAATTTTAAATATATGGAAAATTTGAAAGAATTTTATAGTGAACACCTGTATACCCACTACATAGATTGTATAATTAACATTGTAGTATGTTGACTTTACTATGTATCTATCCAATTATCCATCCCTCTTACATTTTTTGGTAAATATTTAGAAGCTGAGTCATACAATTTTCAGGCAAATTTTATAAATTTTTTTCATTTATGCTAACTAGCCCTCCAAGAAGATTTTTAATACTAATTTACACTCTTACCAGTGGTGTATCAGCACACTTTGAACCCTTGCCAAGCTGGATTTTATTGTCTTAATGTAATTTTTTAGACAATTTTTGATATATAGGTTTTTACTAAAGTTTTTTATTTTATCTCTAAGATGACTTTCTTTATATGTAATACTTATAAACATTTATTTATAGTTTGCTTTGATCATCTAATTTCTATTGTAGATTTTGAAAAGAAATTATGTAATTTGTTCTTTGTTGTACTTAATGTTTTTTAAGGGGAACATTGTATTTGTTCAGTAACTATTTAAGGTACACTTGAGATTTCAATCAGGAAATCACTAGTCCTTTTTTTTTTTTAGTTTATGCAATAAGTGTGTAAATAAGTATTAACTAGAATATTGGCTATAGCATATTCAGTCTTTTTTCTCTTTCACAGAGTAAATGAGCCGATGGAGAAAAATGATACATTGGGGCAATCAGAGCTAGAAGTAGAATCTCCTGAATTAAATATTCGTTCACTCACTGGACCTTTGTCTCACTTCTTGGACCTTGGTTTTATTCCTTGGACCTGTATTCCACTCAGTCTAACACTATGACTGATAAAAAGACTCAAGAGAAATTAAGACATGAATTTGAAGTGTTGTGGAATCTAGGCACCTAGGTGGGCATATAGTATGTGAGGCAGTTGAAGCAAGGAGATAATTAGAAGATGAAAAGGCTTACATAACACTATTTTAAATGATAGATTGCCTACATTCTATTTTAAGAGTAATTTATAAACAATTATTTAATTTTGGTATGGCTATTTAAAAAAATTATATGGAAATCCCACTAGAAATATGTCACCTTTGTTATTTTTGGAGCATTCAGTCAAATCTCTTTGTTTACAGCTGGGCTCAAAATGCAGAGAACTCAAAGATATTCATTTCGGCCAGTGTTACAAGATCTCAGATGAAGGCATGATCGTCATAGCTAAGGGCTGTCTGAAATTACAAAGAATATACATGCAGGAAAACAAATTAGTAAGTACTTGTTACCATTCTTGTGTTTTTCATTTTGTTTCTAACTCTTGAATTCCTTATAACTTAGCTTATAAATTTTTTTCTGCTTATTTTTTTTGGATGGTTTAGAGGCAGATTCTACTTAAAAGTAAGAATCTTCTCAAAACAATGATTTGTATAAATTGATTTTATAACTGTGTGGGTGCTTGTATGTGGTACTTACATGTTAAAAATTCTTCATTAGCATGTGCTAATGTGCTTTTTTCTAAACTCTGACAGTGGAAAAAATTAATTTGAAAAAATTAAATTTGGCTGCCAAACATAAGTATGTAGTTGTCGTTCCTTCTGATTGCCCTAGGGATTGTAGTAATTTTAGATAGTTAGGAATTTTTAATATTCAGGAAGATGTATACTTGTGAAATAGCCTTTCACTTAGTATGGTGTAAAATGGGACTTAGTAAATTGAGACAGATAATCTTGTTTTTAGTTGTAAAGACTACTAGTTTAGTTACATAGGTTTTATATTTTAAGCACATGTGTAGGTAACTCATTTACACTTATTGTATATTATAAATATATTTAAAGCCATGTAATTTTCTCTTATTGAGATATACTTTATATATCATAAAATTAACCTTTTTGAAGTGTACAGTTCAGTGTTTGTTAGTATATTCACAAAGTTGTGAAGTCATCATCACTAATTCTAGAACAGTTTTATTATCCCAAAAAGAAACCCTGTGCCCATTAGCTGTCCCTCTTCATTTCCCCTTCCTCTAGCCCATGGCAACTGGTAATCTACTTTCTGTGGACTTTTGTCTGTTCCAGACATTTCATATAAATAGAATCACACAACAGGTGGTCTTCTGGGTCTGCCTTCTTTTACATACCATATTTTTTCAAAGTTCATTCCTATTGTAGGATGTATCAGAGCTTCATTCCTTTTTATGGCTAAATAATATTCCAAATCAATTTAATTTTGCTTTGATAGGTATATAGTACAGGTTAACAGAAAAAGTTGTCACTGGGGAGGCATTAGTAGAGTTCTCAATGTTGAAAAATACTGTACATTAAAATGTAGGCAAGGTGGTCCTGAATATATATATTTACAAAGAAGATTTGCTTTTTAACTGTATCTTCAAAATAACGAGATCTTTTTGTTGCCCCTTGGAGTTAGTTTACAAAATTTGATAAATACTTCTCACATATTAATGTAAATTTTGAAAGGTCTCTGGAAGCCTCAGCACTTCAAGTGAGACAATGCTTTTTTTTTTTTTTAAAGATTACAGTTAGAAAAGTTGAAATACTATGAATTAAAAGTAAACACTTTTATTACCATGTAGAATTATCTTTTTCTGTGAAATTACACAGTAAAAATACTTCCTATTCCTGTTCACATTTAATACAAATTTAATAATCACTCCTGAGGCATTATGTTCTTGTGGATAGAGTAAGGTCTTCTGGGTAAGAGAGAATGAATTTTTGAATCCCAGTATCCGTTTACTTGCATTGTGACCTTGGGAAAGTTACTTAAGATCTTTGAACCTCCTTTGCAAATGGGGTTATTAGTATTTGTATTTTTGCAGGTTGTGGTTTTGAGGATTAAATGATATAATGTCCTTAAATTGTCTAGTATAAACTGACTCATAGGAGACAATAAAAAACTAGTAGTCTTTATGAGAACTTGACCCTATTTGTTGTCCATTGGTTTCCACTTTACACTCAAGATAAATTAAAAGATGGTAATCCCAGCTTACAATTTTTATATTTCTCACATAATGGGAATATTTGTTGAGTGATTAATATTTGTTTTCTTGTTGAGCAAAACCAGAAAAACATTTTTCTTGACACATTAAAAATTTTGGTCAGTGGTTTTTCAAAGGAATTAAACCATATGTTTTGAAGGTTCTAGTTATGTTCAAATTTCTTTAATATTGTGGTCCGTTAGAAAGGTGTTATATACTTAAATGCTAAGGGAATCAGTTTCCTATGTAGTGTTATTCAATAAACATTTTGATTTCATTGCAAATTAGAAGTGATTTTGCTAAATCTTAAGTAAAGTTCAGCTCAATGAAATTCTTTCAATTTAAGGTTTTTAGAAAGGGAAGTTTAGAATAGTATGAACTCTTTCTGTTGGACAGTTGAGCTGTTGATAACTGGTCTCCCATAGGAACTTTAGTTTGTATTTTTAGAATTTATGAAATAAGGAGAAATATTTGAATTACTTGCAAAGCTACAATTTTAAGTAGATTGGGTTTTTTCACTCTGAGATGTATTATTGTTAGTCCTTTAATGACAAATATTTTTAAAAGGGTGAGTAGAAATAATAGTCTGATTAAAGGCAAATAATGTTTATATATGCATATATATAATTATACTGTATATTTAATTACAGACAGGAAATAATAAACATCATTAAATAGGACAAACAACTAATAGAAATATTCAGTACTCAGGAGAATATTGTGTCTGAAAGGATGCCACCAGAACTTTACCTGTGCAGATATTGATCATTAGCTAAATTATTTCGCTAATTCTCTTATCAGTCTTCTCAAAAAGAATCTTCTCAAAATAGTATTAGAGTTTTATTGTGTAGCCTAAAAATAATCGTAGCATAGTGCTTTTTTAAAGTATAAACTTTGCTGACTTTAAAATATCAAATTGGTTGTTTTTATATATGTTGACAGTATATGACTAAATATACATTTTTTTTCATATTATATCTTGGCCTTTAGATGGCAGCATTGTCTTTGTGTATTTCAGTGACGTAGCTTTTGTGTCCTTGATGTAACTATAAAGATAAAATGCTCGTACATGGTTTCTGCAGATATTTATGGTTTATTTTTAATTTTGTCCTTTAGATGGTTTTAGGGAAATTTTCTTTAAAAATATGGAATAATAGTTGCATCTAGAGTGTTACAAGGTGAACTTGCTATCTTACACAAAGTAGCAAGATACTTGAATATTCTTATTTGTGGCACTGTAAGTAAGGTACACTTTAGCATAAGGAAAGGATTCCTGTATTTATCACAAGGAGTTTTATTCAGGTGGAAAGAGGACAATGATCTGACATCTTAGTACTCAAATGATTTATGGTGAGGCAAATAATTGAGGACATACATGTAAAATCTTACCCCCAAAGAGTGAGTTTTTGTTTTAGTAATTTTTGGGTGAGACAACTGCCATGCGCCTACATGGATGTATTTTTCATTTGCTATAAAACTGTTGTATAGACTATAAAAACAGATCTGAGGAATACAACTATAGTGAGTGTCTAGCATATTATATCCAACTGTCTGCCGTCTTTATTATTATTATTATTTTTTTGTGGTACGCGGGCCTCTCACTCTTGTGGCCTCTCTTGTTGCGGAGCACAGGCTCCGGACGCGCAGGCTCAGCGGCCATGGCTCACAGGCCCAGCCGCTCCGCGGCATGTGGGATCTTCCCGGACCGGGGCACGAATCCGTGTCCCCTGCATCAGCAGGCGGACTCTCAAACACTGCGCCACCAGGGAAGCCCAGGTCTGCCGTCTTTTAGCTATAGCATTTATATCACTTCTGTGCAGTACTGGCTACAAAATTATTTTAAAGCCATATTTAGTTTGTGTGTATAGTTATTGACGATCTAGAAACTTCATTAAGTATATTTTCTCTGCTTCCTTACTCTCCTTGCTCCAGATTCTGCTTCTCTACTTTTTGGACAGAAGCTCTTTGGGCTGCTTTTTTAAAAAACATTTTTATTGGAGTATAATTGCTTTACAATGTTGTGTTAGTTTCTGCTGTATAACAAAGTGAATCAGCTATATGTATACATATATCCCCATATGCTCTCCCTCTTGCATCTCCCTCCCACCCTCCCTATCCCCCGCCCTCTAGGTGGTCGCAAAGCACCGAGCTGATCTCCCTGTGCTATGTGGCTGCTTCCCACTAGCTATGTATTTTACATTTGGTAGTGTATATATGTGAATGCTACTCACTGTGTCCTCAAGTCCATTCCCTACATCTTGGGCAGCTTTTTATTTGGCTGTAAAATGATGGGGTCAGATAGATTATCTACATTTGTTATCCAACCTGATGTTTTAAAGTACTAGGATTTTACGATTTTGAAAATGGCTTCTATGCTAAGTTCTAGGGTCAGCATATGTGATGGAGATCTCTATGTCTTATATTTATTTGGCTTATTTTATTTTATTTTATTTTTTGGCTTTTTTTTTTAACACCTTCTACTCTGTAGAGTTGAGTTATGAAACTAGTGTAGATTTCTGAGTTACCCAAAAAAGTAGTAATGTATTATGAATAGATTTTAGAAAGTTTTAGGGAAATGTTAAGTGTTTTCTGGTTAAAATTTGATTTCCCAATGGTTAATTATGACCTTTTACTTTTTTCAACCTCCTGGTGAACTATTTTACTAGTTTTACAGTTCTGTGCCATCTCCCATAGTCCTTTGGCTCTTGCTGTAACATTATTTGTAACACTGTTTGTTCATTGTTTTTAATTTTATTATCCTTTGGAGGCTTACATGTATCACGTAGGACCTAAATTTACCTCTCTCTGCTTCCTACTGGGATGAATGAGGCAAATACTGAGTGTGAGTTGAATTGAACTCAATTCATATCTTGATCCTACTGTTTCTTAATCATGTGATTCAGTTAGTTATCTTAATTTTTGTACTTTCATTTCCTTGTTTGTAGAAAAGATATAATACTACCTCAGACTTGTTCTTATGAGGATCAGACTAAATGACATTGAGGTGAAGTACAAAATATATGGTCCCAAATGTAGGAAGTTCTTTAATAAATGTTTTTTTTTTTCTTCCTCTCCCTGTCAGTTCACTTTCTGGAGTCTACCAGTTTGAATTGGGCTGTGTCAGTACCTACTGTCACTTACTATGTTCTGATTTCATTTGTTAGTTACCCACAGTTTAATTCTTTTTTTGCTGCTTGCTGTGATTTTGAGGTTTTCTGACTTTTCAAATAAGTAAGTTTCTTTGATCTAGTTACTATATTAATGATGCCATTCTTCATG